CCCCACGGCGCCCGCTCTCCTCCCCCTGGAGCCCCAAGGCCTTGTTAATGCGCCAGCAGTAATGCGCCAGCACGTCTGGCTAGGATGCACTTAACCCTTGGCGCTCTCTGCCCAGGGCAGGTGCAGGTGCCCCCAAGCCTGCTGCATACAATGAGGGGGCCACCTGGATATCCCTGGGCCTGGAGTTTGTGTGCCAGCAGCTCTGCCCACCTCCCTGCCAGCCCTGAGTACCCCCGACCCCTGTGCACGTCCAGGGAGCCTTGACTATCCTGCTCAACCCTGAGGTACTGAGTGGACCATGCCTGCCACTGCCCTCCAGCCCAGCTGGCTCCCGGCAGCCACCCGAGCTGGGTCCAGGGGACAGCCGGGTGGGCTCTTTCCCCCAGCCTTGTGATCCCCTTTACTCTGCCCCTTCCAAGCTCAGAGAAATCTGGCCTGTGATGGAGCAGCTGGTGGGGCCGGGAAAGGGTTCGCCAGGGGTTGCGGGGCTGGGCCGTGGTAGGCTCCAAGTGGGAGGGACGGGACAGGAGGGTGCTCTGCTCACAGCACCCCCCTGCATGGCTTCCCAGGCAGGCCCCGGGCAATGTTCCTGGCTCTGGGCTAGCGCCCTTCATTGCCTTGCTTCGTGCAGGTGTGCTAAGCAGACCGATTTCCCCCTCCCTGTTTATGTAGGTGGGGAAACTGAGGCACGGGGCAGGTGGGTGATTTGGTGCCTGGGCACAGGGACCATTTTCTGTCCTGTCTTTGTACAGTGCCTGGTGCCGCAGGGTCTTGGGGTGGGCTGGGGACTCCTAGTGTCACCATGATGCAAACAAATGTCTGGAGCCAGCTCCTCTGGCTGGGCTGGGGGCTGGGGGCTGGCCAGGGGCTGGGGGGTGTCTCAGCTGTCGCCGTGGGTCCTCTCTAGCTATGCCAGAAGCCACTGACACCTCCTTACCTTCCTTTGCCTGGCTCTGGCCTGGCTCCCATTGCACCTGCTGCTGCAGAGCGGGCATGGACCAGGGGTCTGATCCTGCCTCTGCCACTGACTGCCACCACCTTGGCCCTGTTCCTCCCTGTGCCTGTTTCCCTGTGAGTAACACCTCCCCCCAGTGACAACCAGTGCCATGTATCATGAGCTCAGAGTCCCCCGGACACTGCTGGAGGGGTGAACAGCAGCCTGACACCCCCCTCACCCACAAATCTAAGATCTCTCTCTCTCTGTTCCCTGCAGAAGAAGAAGCGGAGGCGGATCGACCGCTCCATGATTGGGGAGCCCATGAACTTCATGCACTTGACGCACATTGGCTCGGGGGACATGGCTGCCCACGAGGGTCTTCCCATGGTATGTGCCCCTGCTTTGACCTTGGGGGCATATTGGGAGGGGGGGGCAAGGAGCACCCCCAGGGCAGGCTCCTGCCTCGGGGAGCTCCGAGCTGCTGGGCAGGGACGGGTCTCAGCCCCAGGCAAGTTCAGGGCAGCTGCACTGTCGCTATTCCCCATGGTTGGGCACCGGGTCAGTCTGAGGACACGCAGTACCTGAGCATGCCACACCTGCCTGGGAATGGTATCCAGGGGCTCAGTTGGCTGTGGGACGCCCACAAGGACTTCTCATGCGGGGACAGGAGAGGGAACCAGCCACACGAGACACTTGGAGCCTGCTGCGTGTAGGGGGCGGTTGCCACCAGCGCTGGGGGGGCCGTGGTCTGAGCTTTCACAGTCAAGCAGTGAATGCTGGGCTTATCCAAGCTGCCAAGATTCAGCCGGGGGCAGAGTTGGGGACCCAGGTGTCCTTGCTCGGTGCTCTCACCCCTAGACACCCACAGTCCTGGCTTCTCAGTCCTCCCACACCCCAACGTGCCCCAGCATGGGTGTTCTACCCCTCCTCTCCTCCCCAGACACAGCCCCTTGCCAGGGCTGACAGCTCAGTGCATCATGCCCCATGTGCCGTGGGGGCCACTGATGGGCCCTGTGCTTTCTTCGCAGACAGGCGCGGTGCAGGAGATGCGATCCAAAGGCTGTCGGGAGCGACAGTGGAGCAACTCCCGTGTCTTGTAGCTCTGCCCACCAGTGTAAGTGCCTTGCGCGCGCATGCAAAGCCCTCCCCTTGCTTGTGCAACAGTTGCACAATTGTACTGTCCCGGCCTTCCTCTCTGCCTGCAAGATGGATCCAGCTCGGTCCAGGGCTGGGGCTCAGAGAGGCGATGGCAGCTGAGCTGGGGGGTTGAACAGGCAGGCCCCACATGCAGGCTGTCTGGGGGCTACCGGGGGCGCTGATGGCCTAGTAGACAGGGCCTGTCCCCTTCTGGGTGCACGGTACGCTTAGGCGTCCAAATGCAATTCAGTTCCCTCTGCTCCAACAACAGCCAGCACCCCAGGCTGATGGGGGAGAGCAGCCTCCATCCTGTCTGCATTGGGTGCCTGGCTCAGAAGGACCAGATGATGGCGGGTGGGAGAGCAGAGGCTGCTGGGACCCAGCAGGGCAGAGCAGAACCCAGCTTTGGTGCCTCAGGCCGCTGCCACGTCTTGTGGCTGGGGCAGGATCTGGTCCTGGGGCCTCAGGAAATCCCAGCCTCAGCGAGCAGGACAGGGAGCTCCAACCGGGGGCTGGAGTCTTCTTGCGGGGGGCTCACGTGATAACATGGCCCCACATGCTCCCTTAGGTCTCATCCTTCCCCGCAGGCTTCCCCTAGCCCAGGCCTTGCTGGTTCTGGTCCTAGGGTTGGGCCCTGGGTACTCAACCCATCAGACTTGCTACCTTCCAGCTTTCCCATGCATGAAGGGGAGGAATTTCACCTCGGACTGGGGCCCTGCTGGGGGGCACAACCCACGTGCAGCCCCAGGCCGTGCAGGAGACGGAGCCCGTTTCACGCAACCACCGCACGGGGGTCAAAGCCTCATGCACCGTTGCCAATGCCCGCTTGCCCCAGCACTCCCGCAGCCCCTCTCCTTGTGTGGACAGCAATACAGTTAACGGTGTTGATGCCCAGGAGAGGGTTGCTGGCCTTGGCGTCTCCCCATGGGCTGCCGGGGCCAGATGTGGAAGGATCAGCCAGCGGCAAGTGCACCATAGGGGGAGCTGATGGTGCAGCTGGTGCCTGGAGAAGGGGCTGAGAGGACGCATCTCTCCTGCTCGCTGCCACCTGGTCCTAACCCCCACATCTGCCTCTTGCATTACAGACCCTGCGCAACCAGCCCTGGCCCGATGGGAGGGGACCCCAACCCGGCGCTTTGATTTGCTTTAATTTATGCAAACGGATTCTGCTCCCTGCATCCCCTGGCCCGTTCCTGCGGCACCTGGTCCGTGAAACTGCTGTGGGGCGGGGCGGGGGGGTTGTGTTTTCAATACAGAAATGCCTTTTCCAGTGACTCCCATCCTCCACCCCCCATGGGGATCCCACCCGTTTGTTTTCTGCCCAGTTTTCATTCCCACTTCCTTGCTCTGCCTCTGGCTCCAGGGCCCAGAACAGCCCCAGGCTGAGCAGCGTGTTGCCACGCTGTGGGGCGTGAGGCTCACCCAGGCAGTGCAATGTGGGCTCAGGAAGGGAAAGGAGGTGGTAATATGTATCTGAATTGGGCATGTGCTCTCCTGAATCAGGGCCTTGGCCCACCTGGAGAACCTGCCTCTCCGGGGGGATGGAGCCCAGGCACTCTGCCCCTCTGAGACCTGTCCCCATGGGCCTCCTGTTTTGGGTACCCAGGCAGGCTGGCCCCCGTACCTCGGTTTCCCCATCCCATCAGCCCGCAGCTGCCTCGCAAGGGTGCTGTGCAGATAGGTGCTGTGGGGGCCGAGGGTTTCCAGGGGCCCTGCTGCCTGAGGCTGGGCTGTGGGGGCTGGCCATGGAGTCAGGGCAGCACCTGGCCTTGCCAGGAGGTCCATGTCCCATGAGTCCCCTTTGATCCCCGGGGCCATGGTTTGAGGTAGCGCCTTGCCGGTGGGTGGAAAATTCCTTCCTGTGACCAGGACTGATTGGTTGCAGTCACGTCCCTGAGTGGGTTTCTACCACGCCAACCTCCCACATACATCCACCTCCTGGAGCTGCAGGAGCGACACACAGGAGGACCCCCACAGCCCTGCTTTTCAGCCACCACTGGCTCCTTGGCATCAGCTGTCCCGGGTCAGGGGCTTTGCTGCCCACCTACTACCCTTCACAATGGAGGCTGGCCGCTGGGGCGAGACGCAGCCAGTGGCTCTGTCCACCTCTGCCCCCAGCGCTGAATGAATTGATCTTGCCCACAGTGGCTGGGATGGGGTTTGCTCTGCAGCAGCCTGGACTGGAGCAGACAGGACCGCAGGCTGGGCCAGGCCCAGTCAGGGCAGTATGGGGTGCTCAGAGGAGGTGGCTGTGGGCTGGCTGCCCAACCTGCCCCGGTGCTTGCATATCCAGCCTCTCCCATCCCAGGCTGCTCAGTCCCATCCAACCTGGATCAGCTACCATCGAAGGCTGTGAGCAGCCCTCCAGCGACTGTCTGGGCACAAGCCACTGTGGGCACTGGCCCGGCCCCAGCTGGGAGGCACTGTGGCCATGGAGCTCCTTCCCAGGCACTGGCTCTGGCATGGGGGATGCCTGCCCCCCAGGTGCTTGCACTGGCGCTTTTCCTCTGCACTGAACTTGCTCCACAACGAGGGAGAAGGCGGCACTCCTGGGAGGCACTTCGCTGCCTACTCTGATCCAGGGCAGGAGGTTGTAGCACCGCGTTGCCCCTTCCTGTATCACTGCTCAGCCATGTGCCTGCTGGCCGCGGGGCCCTGACTATGCAAGCATCGCTCTCTGGGCCCGCCAGGCTCTTTGCAACCGGCGTCTGTCTCAAGGCATCTGCCCTCGCCCAGCCAGCAGGAGCAGTTGTGTATGAAGCCAGCAAAGCTGAAATGCAGCAAGAAGTCGCTCCTGCTGCCCGCCTGCCCGCCAGCCCTGCTGCCCTCCGGCCTCCTCGGCATTGCATTGATGAGTTGCACGCACCTGGCTCAGTTTCCCCCCCTGGGTTTTAAAGCTCAAGCCGCAGCTGCACTGAGGGACATCTCAGAGTGGTGGAGGAGCATGCGGGCTGGGAGCGTGTGCACGGGGACTGGGTGACGAGGGGCGTTGGCAATGTTTCAGGCCAAAAAAAATTCTCTGGGGTTGAAAAATGCCTCTGGGTAGCACTGGGGCCAAAGCGGGCTTCCAGAGTGAGTGGGGATCACCCTGCCAATCTCACCCCGCAACCTGCCCATCCTTAGAGGGGCCCTGTCAGGACAAAGCTCATTTTCAGTCCACTTGTTGTTTGCCCTCTGTATTGAATTAAAGGAAAAATTTGATTCCACTTTGACTCCACGCAAAGAGACCGGGTTTCATCAGAGTTCCCAGTCGGGTTCAGTTGTATACTATCTTCTTCTTGTCCTGCAGCTGGTTTTGCAATCAAAACCCTGTTGGGGGAATAGGGGAGCAGGGGGAGGGCATTTGATTTTAAAAATTTGTTGATTTTTAATAGGTTTTTTTTTTACTGCCGTTCTGCTGACTTTTGAACCTAGCGTTTTCCCTTCTTGATGTGTTGCGGTGCAGTGCATCCTGATGGGTCCTCTGGCAAAGGGAAGGGCCCGCCGGTCATGAGAGCATTTTACCATGCTCTGCTCCTTGGTAGCTGGGCAAAGGCAGGGACCTGGTCTGGTCCCCCTCATGCTGCAGAGCACCGGGCAAGGGCAGGTGCACCCCAGCCAGGAGGCCGGGACCCTTCACAGGGCAAGTGCAATCTGGGAACAGGGGTTTTCTGTTGTTCCACATTGGGGGCAGGCTGCCAGGCACGGCAGCTGCAATTTGCACCTAGGGTAGAGAAAAGCAGGCAGTGATGGATAGTGAGGCCCCTCCATTCATGGGAGCAGGACGCCAGGAGAAACCCTCTGCCCTGGCTTGCGTCTCCTGCTTTGAGTTTCCCACCAAGCAGATTTTATTCCCCTTGGGGTGGTGACACTATTGAGAACAAGGCCAAACCCCTAGGGACAGAGGTAGGGCTGGAAGCCAGGTCTAGCAGAGATCCAGGCCCCTGGCTATGGTCCCGTCTCCTGCTGTGGCCCCCATTGGAGAGCCGCTCCCCAGACCCCCATCTCGTGAGCACCCCTTGTTCCAGGGGCACCTGGAAGGACTTTGTGTCTGCAAACCCCCCGGCTGGGAGAGGAAGAGGGTATTGGCCCTGAGCCAACCTGCTCCACCGCTGGCACAGAGCAAACAGCTCTGAGGTTTCTGCTACCTTGATTTCTTTCTTCTCCGGGAGGCACGAGGTTCAGCCCCGGGTTTCACAGCTGGCCTGTTGAACGTTGTCGCTATGCAGGAATAGCTGGACTATTCCCCTGGGTTTATTACCTTTATTTTTTCTTTTTTAAGGCAAGGGGATAAAACGATCACTGGGTTTCTCGCCTAGCCCTGGGAAGTCGGCGCAGCAGCGAGGTGGGGGGCCCTCTTACAATACACCCCGATGCACTGAAACCTCCCAGCTGTAGGGAGACACTGTTGTGGAGAACCCACCCTCTCTTTTGCTGTGTGAAGGGGGGATTTTGGGGTGTGTGTGTGGGGGAGGGGGATTGTTGGGCTGGGAGACTGTTGTACAGAAATCACCTTCCTCTTTCCCACACCTTTGCTTACCCCACAGAGTGGATATTTGGACTGAAAATAAAGTAAAAGGAAAAAAGAGTTTGTCTGATGGCTTGTATACAACTGGTGTCTCATGGTTTGTGCGGTGGGAGGGTGCATTGAGCCCCTTTTATCCCCCCTCCCCAAATGAATAGTCTCTGATGTTATTCCTTGAGCCTCAGCAGTTGTCGTGAAATATTTAGGCACAGTCTGAGAGGCTGGAAAAGGTGGTATATTGGATCCTGATGTATCGCCTGATGTCACTCCTCCCATCTCCCCAGGCCTTCTGGCTCACGTACCAATAGGCTCGGTGCCTTGAAACAGCTTTTGAATGAAAAGTGGAGGCAGAAGGAAGCAAGGGGGTTGGGGGCGCTTTACAGGCTGCAGAAAGCGGGAGTGCCCTCCCTGTCCTCCCAGCTGGGATTACCCAGGCCCCAGCTCTGGGGACAGACACGTGGCACGATTCCCCTGGTTTAATTGGCACTTGTAAATGTGTGCGGAAGGTGGGTGCATGCAGTGTGCAGGCCTGCCCTGGGGGGGAATTCACGGGGGAAATGGGGGTAACGCTATACCCACCCGTGCATCCAGACCTGTCCCGGGGGAGCCACAGGCCACGGCCGCCGCGTGCTGTCCTGCCACCTAGTGGAGTGATGCTGTCACTGCAGCCCACAGCAGGCCTGGGAGTGGGGGTACATCCATCCACTCTAGGCTGGGGTGTTGCCCACATCAGTATCTCCTGGAGGGAGTGGGCCCAGCCTTGGCCTGGGAGCCTAGTGGTTGGAGCAGTCACCCAGGAAGTGGTAGCCTTAGAGTCTCAGGCTTTGCTCAGGACTTTGCAGCGTTTCTGAATCGGGTGTCTAAATCCCCTCTACATCCTGCTCTGGCATTGAGGAGCAGTAAAGGCTGGTGCCTCCACCCCATGCCAAAGGGGTAGCCCTGGGGTCTAGGCCCATCTCGGTCTGGGGGTTGCCTGCTGGCCTGCCAACCCCGAATGCTTGTGGTGCCAGGGGTGCCTGAGCAATTAGGAGCTTGGGTCACATCAGGCATCTCCCAGCACCGGCTTGGATGGTGCTGGGGCTGGGCCCAGGTCACCTATGCACGGATCAAGTCTGAGCACCCCAGGCTGAAGCAGAGGTGCCCAACAAGCTCAGGGCTTTGCAGCTCCTCTGAATCGGGTGTCTAAATCCCCTCTACGTCCTGCTCTGGCACTGAGGAGGGGTAAAGGTGGTGCCCCCACTCCATGCCAAAGAGAGTGGACCCAGAGTGCACCACACCGGAGCAGACTCCTCGGATGGGGAAGCGAGGCCGGGCCCTGCAATGGTTGTCGACAGAAAGGCAGGCCCATTGCATCAGGCCTGTGAATTCATCAGCCTGATTTCCCCGCCCTCCTCCAGGTGCACAGAGCATGAGTCCGTTTCCTCCCTGGCACGGAGGGATCTGCTGTCCCGTTATCTGCTGGCACCCGCCTCCATGGTTGGTTCCTGATTCACCTGGGAGCTGTCTCTGCACTGGGATCTCAGAGAAGCAAGGGCCAGAGCGGGTCACCGTGCTGGCTGGGAGCAACGTGGACTCGTCACCCAGGACCCAGCTGCATGCCTGGATGGGGCTAGCTTTGGGGCTGTGGCTGTCATTGTCGCGTTGTTCTCTGATATTTTTACTGGGGTGTGGAATAAGCCTGGGCGATGAATGCCTTGCCCACCTTCACATGATGTCCAGGAAATTGAAGATGCCTCCTACACGCCCCTACAACCACCACCTCTGTGCTGCTGCCAGGGCCCCAAAGCATCAAGAACCACCTGTGGGGATGACCCCCTACTCCCCTAAATCCAGCATATGAGAGTGGAGATTGGTCTGTTCTAGCTGCAGGCACACAGCCACCAGTTCAGGGGCTTAGCTGGGATATCTGTCCTCTTTCCTGTACACCAGCATTAAATGGTATATGCTGTTCTGTTACATCTGTTTGCTTCTGTTCATTTGGCATAGACCAGGCAGTTAAATCAGATGGACAGATGGGCCCTCCCAGCATAAGTTCCCTCTTTTAAAGTGGTTTAGAGGGATGGCTGTCCACAGCCTAACTTGGGTTTTCTTTCTGATTCTGCTCACAGTGGTTTTTGTCTATAGCAATGGGCTGTTACCAAGGGAGGGAGAAGGTCCCCCTGCATCCTGGTTCTGTGTCAGCTCCAGCTCCATCAAACCTGAACCCCCCATGGTCTGGGATGTCTCTGTCCTCACCACCCCATCACAGCATCCCCAATCAGCGAGAATCTGTGCAAGGATAAGTGCCCACGTTTCCCAAGTCCCAGGCAGGGGTGTGCTTCCTCCTGCTGGTGAGAAGCAGAGTCATTTGGGAGTTGCTGGCTATGGTACCTGTGTCCTTCTGCCTCCCCGTCTGCTTCTTACCTGTGCTGGAGACAAGCACTGTCCCATATCACGGCAGAAGGGATCGTAACACCAGGGCCTGGGTGGCAGTGCCATGGCACTCACAGAGCCGTGAAGCATCTCGCCAATAAAGTGCAAGGGGAGACACCGCCTTGAAAACAACCTTTACTCTTAAATATCTCTGGAGTTGCCAGCATGGCTGGCATGACTGCCATGTGCGGATGCCAGGGCCGTTGCGGCGTCCTCGAGATGGGGCACGGCCTCAGCTCTCTTTGTGGCTGTGCTGCAGAAGAGAGATCAGAGTGCTAGCACGGGGGGCTCTGGAGGCAAAGGACCCGAGCGCTTCTGCCCTCCCATGGCCCCGGCACCCAGCGCACATGGGCAAACCCGCTTTGCTCCGCATGGTCGGGTACCAACCCCTGCGCTCGCTCTCTGGCCCCTTTGCCCTGGCCCTGCTAGGCAAGCAGGACTTTAAAGCAGGTGGAGAACGTGTTTGGTTTTGGGCTGGAGCATAAGTGAAAGCCAGTGCCCTCCTGCGATGGGTTTCCTACCCGCCCTGCTATGTCTAGCCCAGCCCTGCCCCTATGCTCACTCCAGCTTCCAGCCTGCACATAACCCCACAGCAGCTGTTTGGGCAGCGATGCCCCAAGAACAGGCCATTGCCCGGGCTTAGGCAGGCCCCAATCTTGCAAGCACGGAAGCGCTTGTGTTTCCATGGGTTGTGGCATTAAACCCCACAGCACAGCGTCTGCAATTGGGCTGGCGGGGTTGCAGTACCCCACAGCCCTTCTGCAATGTGGAGGCTGCCGTGGTCTCCCTCCTTTCCCCGGGGCAGGGTCGGGTGCGATGTCTTGCATAGTGTCAGGGCTGACAGTAGTTTTGCAAAAAGGCTGGATGGCGGGTTTGTCTGGGATGCGCTGGGCAGGGCTGATCCTACGTCAGGCAGGGGTTGGACTAGGTGTGACCTCTGGAGCTCCCTCCCAGCCCCATGGCTCTCATTCTGTGATTTGCAGCGGTGGTTTGAGAGGCAGAGCGGCAGGCTAGAAGTGAAGGGGCTCCACGCCGCTCTCATGTAAATGCCGCTGAGATCTGACTTCAAATGACACCCAGCATGAACCGGTCAGATAACGATGCCATCCACCGCTCGGCCTGAATGTTCTGTGCGCCCCTGGCACTGAAGTGGGCAGCCCCTCTGCTGTGTGAGGGGGCCGGGTGTTGCCCATTTTCCTTATTCCCCAACATCTGGAGCACCCATGTTGCTTAGAGCTGCCCGCCTACTCCAAGGGCACTGTCCCATATACAACTCCCTGACCAAGACTGTCCTAGAGGGCATAGCCACCTACGGCTGGTGAGTCTGAATTTATTGCACAATTCACCCGTTCATTATGTGATCCTTACTTTGCATGTGTGGCCGGTCTACATTTATTGCGCGATTCACCTGTTCGTTGCGTGATCCTTACTTTGCATGTGTGGCCAGGCTACATTTATTGTGCAAGTCACTGGTCAATTGTGTAATAAATGTAATATCTAGCAGAGACGGGAACCTAAGAGGGTGGATATCATACCAAGAGGCCCCATCCTTCTAGGATCCCACCCCGTGGACACCCAGGCCATGCCCACCCCGTGGCCCCTCCCCACCCCGCTCACCGCCTTTTCCCGGATGAAGGCCCGGCGGACGTTGTCCCACAGGTCACGCAGCTGGCTGCGGATGTGGCGCCAGAAGCGCTGCGACTCACGGTACTGGGCCTCCCGGATGTCACGCACGGCGCACAGGTAGGGCCTGGGCGCGTCACACGTCAGCTCCTTGCCGGCGCACTGGAGGCTCTGGCGGCTGCAGGGGCACTGCCGGTACTCGCAGGGCACGCGCTGGAAGCGCAGCGCACTGAGGTCGTCAGGGGCCAGCTCCACGTTGGGCACCGTGTAGTTCACGTCCCGCACCCGTGCCATGCTGCCGGCCTCGCAGTTGCAGAACCACTGCCCCCACGGCTGCCACTGGTACCCGGGGTCGCCCACCGACAGGGTGGCCTCTGCGCCCGAGGTGACGGCCGTGTCCAAGCCTGGGGCCACTGCTCGCTTGCTCACGGCCACCGTGACGTCCGCCTCCGTCAGGTCTGCAGCCACTGCTCGCTTGCTCACGGCCACCGTGGCGTGCGCCTCCCTCTGGCCCGTGGCCACTGCCCTCTTGCTCATGGCTACTGTGGCCAG